TAAGGAAAACGAGCTGAGGTTCCAGCTAGGGCTCTTACAGTAAAATCCATTGATGTTGATGTTTGTGGAAGTAAATGTTCAAAAATAACCGTTTAATTTTCTAAGAAAAGAAAATAACATCAAGGTAATTTAGGTAAATAATTAGCATTTGAGAAATAATGTGAGAAATATAAATAAGATTTTAACAGAAATTCCAGATATTTATTTCCACAATAACCTAGAAAAACGGTTGTCCTACTTAGGTACACGATACAACTATACAAGTTTTGAACAAGCCTCCATAACACCAATTCCAGACCGACGATACGCACCGCCAGTTTCCCGAGGACTACGTTGTCGGCGGATCGTAAAGGTGGAATGAAGGTGGATCAGTCACCTATATATTATTCACAGGTAGGGTTGCCACCTCTCCGGGTTTCATCCGGATAATCTGGGTTTACATATAAATCTACGGGCTACGGGTTCAGTGAATTATTATTCTCCGGGTCATAATATTTTTATATAATTTTAAATAGTTGGTCAATAGACAATAAGTAGCAAGAACATTGATTTTCTTACGCCAAAAGATAAGATAAGATACGATTTATAGTCTTGTATAGACTTGAATATGACTTATAATCCGAATATCTGCGTTTAGTTTTTGGGTCGGTGTAATCGTTTTTTGATAATAGTTTTATTTTTATTTTTTTTTTTTGCTTATCGGCCCGTCTCCGGGGCTGCTATCTTTCAAAGGTGGAAAACCCTATTCACATGGCACTTTGTACGAATGCCGTCGACTGCATACGCCTCCACAGCGCTTACTTATAATTGTGTGTATTTAAGTGTTATCATTGATTATAAACACTAGGTACCTAATATTTATAATCCATATTGTGTGTACCTACCTATATTGTGAGTAAGACTATTGTAACGTCTCCTATTCACTTACAGACTTCTGTAAGATACTTATGTGAAGTATAAACAATAATATTGTACATTACCGTCGCTTCTTATTATTTATATTATAAATACATATTACATACGCCATATGAATCACGTATTCACGTCTTATATAATATGTGCAGCGTTGTAATATCATAATCTTTATTCTTCGACAGCTGTTATAGGGTGTGAATTTGAGGGGAGGAGCAAAAGATTGAAGCACACCGAATACAGGATATTTTTGTAATTAAATAACGGTGCCCAACAATTTATTGTAATAATCCGGAGTTTGAACACTGCGGTGTAACATATATATTATAATACTATTTAATAACAAGGATTATTACCTTTAAAAAAAATGATAATTACTAACTAATCATTTAATACCACAAATTAACAATTCTATAAAAACAATAATTCAATAAGTTTGCATCACCGTTCATCACAGCACTAAACTCCAGTACTACACAGTACAAAAAAATCTCTAGAATTTTAAAATATATGGCCTTTGCCCTTTAAGTATATTTTAAAATTCTAAAAATCAAAATTTGAATGAATTTATTATGAATAAATTGTGGTGAAACGTGGTTGGTGACTCACTCTGTATAAGTTTATATACACAACAAGTCCAACTATGCATTAGGTACTCAATTTTTAAAATATCCGCAAATGTGAAATTACTTTCTTAAAACTATTGTGTGCATATAGGTCCATCATATTATTACATATAAAATATCCGAAACGTACACAAACAGTTGACCTGGACAACCATGTAAAATGAGATGACAATTAAAAATTATTTTAATTACTGTTATTATTGTTATGCAGTATAATTTACAAATTAAAATATAACATAATATGTAATATTATGATATGAAATACTGAAATACATTATGATATACATATTATATAATTACAATTTACAACCATTATTGTGATTAAAAAAACCTAAATTTATATTTTTATTTTGCAAGTAACTTAAAACAATAATCATATATAAATAGGTAGTCATATAGGTACCTAATACAATATTTTAGGTAATATACACATATTTAGTTACACTTCAAATTTGTTTTGTCATTATAATATGGACTGGAATATTGGACTCTCAAATAAACATAGGTAGGTACCTGCATAGTATTTATACATGTTTTATAATAAACTTTAATTCAATACGTAGGTAGTGTATTATATGTAGTGTATTATATATGAGTTATACAGGTACTTGAAAACAGATATTTTACTTATTTTAATAAAAAAAAAAATGTCTAACACTTAATCCGGCCTAACATATACACGAGTTCCAACCGTGCGGCGCAGCACTTGTCTGAGGGTCGATTGTATGTTTAGATTCAAGTCCACAAGTGTCACAAACATTATTTTAAAAAAAAATTGTGATTGTTCATCTCCTTTTCGTGGCAACTTAGCCTCTCTGGTAGGTAATCCGACTACCTACGCCGGATCGCGGACAATGAACGACAGCGTATCAAGTAGGCAATGTGCGAATATTTGATTTGATGCATGCTTGTACCTGAATTTCCCGATTAAAGAATGCAACCAAATATTAAATACTAATTTTTACTAATTATTTCTCCTATAACCAATATAGCAGTGGTTCCCACTATAAGGCCCGCGGGCCGCATGCAGCCCCTTTAGTAAGTTTAGTGCAGCCAGCACTAAAATTAAATTGTTCATTCTAAAATCCAAAATTCTATAAACAGTGAATAAAATGAACGTCGCTTATTATCTTATCATTTTTATTTATTTATTTTATCTTTCTATTTTAAACTTGTATTGACATATTGACCTAACAATATATATATATAATTTTCATGTTTTTAATTATTAAAAAAATCATTAAAAATGCATGCGGCCCGCAAATAATTTTCAAAAATTACATTTGGGGCATTCTACAACCCTGATGAGGACCCCTGCAATATAGCAACAATTTATAAACAAAAATGTCCACCTTAAATCTCAAAATACCAGTTTGAGCACCTCCCCGGGTTGGACCTAGGAGGTTAAAAAATACTTTACGACCTATTCTCATACCTACCAAATATACCAAAAAAATTTCATTAAAATCGGTCAAGCCGTTTCGGAGGAGTGCAATGACAAAAGATCACAAGAGATTTCTTATATATCAGATTAGTAGGTATATATATTTCGAGTGAAGTGACAGAATAAATTGTATTATTATTAAAATACATTTTTCAATTTATATATTCAGAGATTCGGCGAACCGCTTTGAAAGATTAAATTTCTTCACGCTTTTTAGTGTAATGGAATAAAAGCATCACAAATGCACTATAATAATATTATGATGGTAAATAAACACACTTTTAAGAAAATAATAAAAAAGAATCATACAACTTGCTCAACTTCATCCAGTTTGGGAAGAACTTGTTTCTCATCACATTTTCCCCATAGGGAAATAAAAATTCTTTTTGATGTTCTACTTCAGCAACTTTTCCGAGAGGAAAATAAATCTATCTTATTTGGTACTTTTGGGGGTCAATAATTAAAAATTCCCAGTAAATTTCAAAAGCGTGACAAAATGTTCCAAAAAATTAATTTTCATATTTTCACAGAATGTATAATATTATATTAGAATGTTATATACACTTTAAAATTGTCAAAATATTTTGACTTCTTTGAGCAATGTATAGGCAATTTTTTTAATTCAATTCGTTGAAAAATTTTTTTTTATAGATGTCGAAAAACAATATTAGAATTAATTTTTTTTTTTCGATAATTTTAAAATCTGTACATATCACATACTTAAGTGATGATGTTTATTTATTTTGGACATTTAGAAAACTTGAAAACGTAATGAAAGAACCACCCAGTGACAGCACTTCGGCGTGAATTTATGTGCTATAGTGTTAAAATTAAATTAGGTTTCAAACCTATTTTCATCTGAGCTTTCTAGAAGAGATTCCGGGAATAAAGTTTGTTAAGAGGTTATGAACGAGGGGATTACTGTGGTTTTTAAGGAAGTTTCTAAACTTGAAATAAAGTTTTTTGGTTGTTCCTGCTTTTTTGGTAATTTTGAGGGTTAAATTTGACTGTTTGAGATGTACGGAAAAAGTCGGTTATTAATCTAAGGATTTTATTTTGTAATACCAGAATTTACTGTGGAATTGACTTTTTAGGTAATCCCCATATTTGTATATACTGCATCCTAATGTGTTTGAGACGTTTGTGTCAAACGTAGGTTGTAAATATAACTAAATAAGTATTTTAGTTTTAAGGTGGATTTTTGAATATTTAACTAGTATTTACCTTTATTAGACTGTATATGATTAAATCGACTATTCTCAATTCTAGTGTCATGTTGACTGCGATTTATCAATAAAATGTATGAAAACTTAACTAAAAAATAATTTATTATTAAACTAAATCTATTATTTATGTTACATTATTTTTCTTAACTATTAATATTTTGATTACAAAGCTTTAACATAAGACAAATTGTAAAGTGTGAATGTATGACATAGTGTAAATTTGTTTTATATTATTCATCTAGATGTATTTAAGATATTGAGTTTATAAAAAGATAAAAAGCTAATCTTTTAAAATTTACACATTTATCTAGAATCTGGTAGTCTTTTATACGAAAACTCGTGCAATATATTAAATAATTTGTTGTATTATTCATGAAACTTTTGACTTATAATATTTTTTGTAACCAAAATAATAAAACCGATTTGTTATTGTTTAATTTATGTATTTTTACAATAATCTGTATAAGCCAACTGCCTAGGTACCTATACAATTATTATTTAAGTATTTATCTTAATTAATATTATGACCTTAATAACTATTTTTTTTTTCAAAGTTATGAGTGATTAATTAATTCACAATTTAATTTTAAAAAAAAAATCACAATTTATACTAATATTAAAACTGTATACCTACAACATATTTGTTTTAAACATTGCAGTGAGTACATTATGTATGTAAACTATAATATTCCACAGTAAATATTCCTAAATTTAACCAACTATTTTGTTAATTACTATAGTGTAATATAATATATAATATAATTGTAATATTTTGGTAAGTTGATAAAAGTGTTAATAACGTTTGTCCCAGCCACTTGAATCTACGCCATGATTATGATGATTACTTCCGGATTCTCTGTTTCCTTCTGAAATATATATTGTAAATATTTATTTTAATAATTTCTTGAAAAATGTAATTATATTATCGTATTATCAAACATATAATATAATTATAATAGTCAATGTTTAATGTATGCATTTTGAAAATAATTGTACATTTAAATATTAATAATGAGGATAAGAAATTAAAAATTAAAATCGTCAATACAAATATGATGACGTTTATATCAATTGATAAACAAATAGGTACTTATTTAATCTTATATCGTGTTTAGAAATATTGAAGTATAATATGTCTGACAAGTGGACACTATAACTTTAAATAAAGTATATCAACAAACTGTTAAGAACTTTTGTACACCAAGGTATGTGCTGTTTCATAATGATTAGACAATGTGCTGTGTCAAGTTAACACTGTTATTTACTTTGATTTACTTTGATGAAACAGTAGGAACATTCTGAAAATAGCATATCAAAATTTGACGAATTTCAGTAATTAATGAGATACTTCCCTTATATTATAGCCATTGCATAAGGTGCCAATTCTCATTATGACCTGTCCAGCTATTTCGTAGATTTAAAAAAAATACATATTGATAGGTATATTACATAATATGACCTCCATAGTCTATGTTAATAAAGGAAATAAAATTAAAATTAAATTGTATCATTATTTATAACAGCAACATGTTGTAAATATTTTGAACTAAGGACCTTTCACATATTATGTGTTAAAAATCTAATCTCGTCAAGGGGGTATTATAATATAAGGATATCATTTTGAAAGTTGTTTAATCTCGTCAGTGTTTATTTATTACATATTAATATATTATACTATACAGGTCCAAAAATAAAAGTAGTTTAATCTAACAAAGATGAAAAAATAAAAATACAAAAATAATATGACACCTGCAACGATTAAGATTGTTTAAAATGGTTACACTTACACATTAGTATAAAAAATTAGTTTTGTAGATGTGTATTAATGTAATATAATTGTCAGGTTGAAACATTTTTATTTTGGCTTAGTGGTGGACATAATACATAATATGTAAAACCGCGAAAAGGGCCGCTATTTTCAAACTTAAATAAAATTTTAATTTTGTATCAATTACATGGCAAAGTTCGCATTATTAAAGAGTTATTTATGATATATATAGGTACATTCATCGTAAACGATTTAAAAATTAATAAGTGATGTATTTAAAAAAAATCATTAAATTAAGAGTTTTTTTTTGCTATTACAGCCAGATAAATATTTTATATTTAATCGTATAAGATAATTTTGTTCGTCATATTCATCGTGCAGATAATATAACATATTAATTTTACTATAATATATTAATATTTCATTACAAATTAGTACAATAATATTTTACCAATGTTTTCAAATGAATAGTGTTAAACTGTTAAGTGTTAAGTTACCAACATACCTATATAAAATGTCTTGATATTATACTAGAATACTAAATCAATCCGTGTTCCTAAAATATGTGTTAGTTAGATAAAATAATAATCAATATTCTTAATATCATTTTTACCGATGAACAATTTTCCTGTTATCATTATAATATAGCAGGTAGTATATGAAAACTGTTTAATTAGCAGTATACCCATGGTTAAATCCAGAAAATAAAAGGCGTAATATTTAGTATATTTTGCAGTATTACGAGTAAACACGTTTACTTTAAGTTTGAAATATTTCACAAATGTCTCAAGACGCTACATCTCGTGAAACGTTTGAACGCTAAAACTAACATACTTTATTTAAATGAAGACAGTCTCTTGACTGCAGCATTCATGACTGCGTCCCATATACAAATGAACGCGTTCACAAAAGATAGTTCTTTTCCGAACGCCTTCATTCCACCCAGCTCTCTTATTAAATTATTTACCTCACCCCCGTTGCCACGTGATACAAGAGATGAGTTCCACCGGCGCGCCGTCGTTTGTAAGCCTAGTCCACCCCTCGCCCACCCCTTACACCAAGTGTCTCACAAAACTTTATGCATTCCCGAATACATACTAAAAGGTGTTTATTACGTAAGCACAACACGCGTCGCCTAAAACCGGAGGCTGCTTTTCCAAGTCTTGCCACAGCCCCATTCGCGTTGAATTCGCAATAATAGTTATAGTTATTTCAATTTCGCATTTGTATACCGCATTAAGTTTTAGTACATTTTTTTTTTTTTTATTCATTGAATCTATACTTCGAGTTTTGTTTTTTTATCCCCGAATTCTATATGTAATAAGACTTTTGGGAAACGAAACGATTATTCTCTAATAGCTTAATCAAGTTAGATAATATTATGATCTCATGAATATTCATTTCAGGACTATCTATACTATCTATATGTGAATATTCTAATATGTATAATATATTAATATGTATATTTTGTAATGATTATTAATTCATAAGCAGTTTGTAAGTTAAAACCAATATGTTTCTTACTATTATAACATATTTTAGGAAAATGTGTGTATTGCCCAGAAATTTATCATACTTATACATTGTCACAAAGTGAAAAGCATGATTGTGTGACAAATAAGAGTCAAAGAAAAATACTTAACTTTAATGATATTAATAATTAAGGATGATAAAACTTTGAGTACCTACGTTGAACAGATTTGTAACAAATCTCTATATTTAACATTACCGAGGATTAGAAGGTATTTTTAACATACGTATTATCCCCTGTGACCAATGGTCATTACTAAAATATTAATGTTTTTAGTAACTGATTTTTTTTTTTTCTGTATTAAGGCGTAGGTATTATTTATAATGTAGATATGCTTTTTCAACTAATTATTTATAATTTTTTTGCAAATAACTAAATGTAGATGTTAAGTTAAAGCTGTAATGTCAATATGTCGGTTACAATTATTACTAATTAAAGTTAAATAATGAAAAAATAAAGGGTTAATAACATTTGCAATATTAGTGTTTTCATCCGTCATTTGACAACAAATAAAACTCAATATTTTTAAAGTTTATAATCTTGCACGTTTCGCAGTTGTCACTATCAATCAAAACTGAATCATATACCCAACAATATTTTATAATAATATCGACTTTATTTTTCTTCCTACATAAAACCATGTTTTGTAATTATTATGTTGTCTTAAATACTCAGGTCCAATTTACGTCTCACACCATACATTTAACTCAGATTTACAAATGAAAACCATATGGCCAAATCTTGTACATTTTCTCTTATATCTATTAAATCATCCAAATCCTATAATATCCGCTCTCTAATCCATCACTACCCCCCCCCACAGGTAATCCTCTTCGTAGACTTACAAAAAATGGCGCAGACACTTAAATAAATCTTCATTTTCATAAAAACAAAAATTCATACCTAATGAAATTAAATAAATAAAATCAAGTGTCGACTAGGTATCAAATTATATTGTCATGATTGGGGCTTATAAAAATAGGTGCTTGGGTCCACCTTACCTTATCATTGTAAATTGTCATATATTTATAAGTCATGATAGGGTTTTCGGCCGCCAAAAGTCTTTTTCAGCCAGCACCCTGAACTCTGTAGTTATTCACTTACGTTTTTTATACATCAAGAAGTGTACAGTGGCTCCAGGCATCGTGTAATCATATCCGTACCGGTCAGGTTCGTTGAAAACGTTCGTCTGGTAGGCCTCAGCTCCCTGCTGCTGTCCACCGTAACCAGCCGACTGCCACCGCGATTGTCCACCGAACGCCGAACCTTGCCCAAAATTGCCGCCGCCGAATCCTGCCCCACCGCCATACCCGCGTTGTTGACCCACATTGCCGCCAAACCCAGGCTGCTGGTGGTGGTACCCCATCGCACCAGCCCCGGGGTTCGACCACTGCATGTTGTTACCGTTGTACGGATACGCCAGGACGTGACCGCATGCGACCATCATGCACAGCAATGCCTACAACGTGAAGGCATATTACTGAATGATTGACAGGATAAGTGAAATGTCACGCACTGTGTATCGTGTAATGGCAGTTAGGTATGGATATTAGATGGATACTATAGCAGGTATATTCATATAGCATATAGGTATAATGTATACTAGAACGGAAAGTATATAAATATGAATTTAATTTTATATAATAATATTATAGATTATAGTTATTATATTAGAATCTATGCATGTGAATACGTTCAGGTATGACGGCTCTTAGATCTATAGATATTATAGTTATACCCACTATACCCACTCTGAAGGTACTGCGCATAAATCAATGTCTCTGCTAATTCATGTTAAAGTGGCGAACACAGTCATATATGATTAATAATGTTTTCTAAAATATCACGTAGGTACCTACTACACACCTTTGATCACATCGTGTAATTATATTATACTTTTATCGTTTTGTCAAAAATTGTTTTTTGAATTTTAAACCCGACAATATAGTAGATCTCTATAATCCAATGATAGTTTGGAACCCAACATTTCTGATTCCTTAATATACTGCATTTATAGTTAATAATACATTATTATAATAAGTTATTGATGTTAAGGGTATGAAATTAACTTTTTGGATATTTTATTCCACGTATTAGTTTACAATTTATTACCGAAATAATTTCCAACCCACTGATTAGTGCATGCATATAGAGCTCTTAACTTTGAAAATGTATGGGAATTAGTATGCAGTAAACTGTAAAGCTAATGTTTTTGTTTTCGGTAAAATGTTTTTGGAACTAATTTTTCGGTCTATGGGAAAAAAATTAAAAATGTCATGAAATGATCGAAGACAAATTTCTCTCTTAATCATTTGCAATAATAATACCTATCAGCGATAATTTAATATTTGGCGTCGAAATGTACACAAAACAATTTCAACAGTAAAAACTAACGCCTATCAATTAATTAATTTATGAAATATTTAGAAGTAGGTATTTTGTTGTATATCTTAAATATTCTTATGGTCACGTGATTTTTCCCAATCCTTAGAATAAATTTATTAAATGGTGTTTACGTGCATACTATCTTATATTCAATATTGAAAGAAAACAACTCATTAAAATACATATTCTTAACGTTCAATTTTTATAATTTATATCATCGCAATGTATGTTAATGAAAATACGCTATCGATGGCGAACAGGCGAACTAAAGAAAAACTAAATGTAAAATTTGGCTTCATTGTTGATCCAAAAATATCCAAGTTTATCCAAGGATAAAAAAAATATATAAATAGTGTTTATAACAACGACTCTGTCAAAAAACCCTGTGAAATATCTTATTTTTGAATTTTGATTAAAAACCAAAAAATTCGTTATGTTTATTTGTTTGCACGCCTTTTCGTTTTCGGTTCGTTGACGATGCAAAATATAATAAAAATGTATCAGTCATAATAATTAATAATATGTGCGTTGAAAAATCGAAAAGAGAAAATCTAACAGATTAATCCTACAACAACATAATACATATTTCATACGGGCCTATAAATTATCCAAACGAAAAAGAAACTTTTGGTCTTACCGAACAGTGTACAGCGGTGATCATTTTATCTTCTTCGGCGGACGAACTGAGCAAATCGACTACTACGATGTATATCGAACGACTGCGAACTTAAGTCTCGTTAAAGACTATGAGCGTTTATATACACAGATAAAGAGGATATTTCCGAAAACCGTTGACCTTGGCCATCAACCCGGTCGTGCACGTCAAGTCGTACCTTCCTCGCGTCTCCTCATACGTCGTATACTCGGATGGACGGACAATAATAAAGACGTCTAAAAGCGTATAGTCCGTGTTTAATTATTGTTATTATTATTAATATGATTGTTATTATTAGATACAGCTCGATGTACCACACAATTATATTTGTCAAAATGACACGCCGCCGTCACCTTGGTCCGCCACCTCCGATATCCGTTGTCGTGACTCATCAGACCACCATTTGCGAATCAGGTGCCTTTTGTAATAGCGTTTACTGACATTAAAACCATAACGAGGAAAACCCACCGCCTCAAGTTGGTTTTTTGCCGGGTTCAGGAAGAACTCTGCGCTATAATAGCCGGTGTATGTACCCCCGAAATTAACTTTAAAAATAAATAAATAATCATGCGTTGTGTGTGGGGAGCCCAGAGGCGGGTGTTATTAAATTCGAAATCAATGACAAATCGTTGAACTCTAAATAGACCAGTGCGGAGTTCGGTACTCCCAGAATCGGTATCTAGAGAATATAGATAATAATATGTGATTATCTCTGTGGTGCTCTCGATATTATTACATCAATTATTGTTCACACTCGTTGCAATTGCTCGCGCATTCCGAATTCCTGAGCATTCCACGGTTTACTCTGACACTACTATATATAGAAAACCATCATCTATGGGCATGCCCTCACTAAATCACGACCTCTGTTTGTATCATGTCGTGTGCTGCATGAAACCTTTGCGGTCGTTTTTTTTTTTTTTTACCACTCGTAAAGAGTTTTTTGAGAAAAATCATTTCGCACGCCGAGCCTTAACAGCCGCCCCTCATCGTTGAGAATATCGAAAAAACAAAATCAAAATACTACCGACGAAAACTTTTCACCAAAAAACCGCCCGCACGGTAATACCGTGTCGCTGGCAAAGCTGCCAGCGTGGCGTCTCTCGTGCTTACGCCGCCAAACGTCGAACGCGCCTCAACGGCAGGCACGACCGCGTTCAGTATACCCGGAAAAGCGTGCGGTGCGGTCCCTTCCGAAAATTACGGAGTCCATCTCGATCGGACCGTTTGGCGGTACATTTGTTTTCGTACTATTTCACGTCCGATTTCGTTCGATTTTAGGATTTTTATTTCATCGAAATCGTTTCTATAATAAAAAAAAAAAAAAAAAAAGATAAAAAAATCACATACTTTGTAAGTATATCTAAATACGAATTTGTGTTCTGTTTTTTCCCCTAGGTGTGGTATAGTTGTTCAGTAATTGATAGCTTTCTCCGCGTGTCTGCTATATTTATAAGTAGCTGCAGTATATTATATAATATGTATATTATTGTGTGTTTATAATCAAATCATTATCATAACAGATTTCCTAAGCCAAAAAAATCGTAACTATTTTTAAGTTGTATATTTTCGTTCTTGATTTTTCAAATTCTGAAACAAACAAAGTCGTAACGGCAATATTGAGTAAAAATTAAGTATGAGGTCATTTTTACTCATCATAATATTATTATTATCTTAATAATAGCTGTTAAATTTTTTATTAGAAAATTAACAAATAACAATAATTAATAGTCTTGGACACATTCCCAATGCATAAAAGTCAACGTTTTATCATTATCGTTTATTTGTTATATAATTTTTAAATAGCTCATAAAGAATGTGATTTGGTTTAACATAGTAAAAAGTACGTTCACTTTATTTAAAATTATCTTATAATGATCTGTTCTTCATGCATTCAAAAGAAAAGGATATAACATATTATCAAGGCTGTTTTAATTCTTGTTATGAATTTGATAGTTTTGAGAGACAAACATTTAAATAATGAGATGATATTTATTCGCTTAGCTCTATTTTTAAATACGTGTAAGTCATTAATGTTAAACAAAATATCAAATTATTTTTTAAAAGTGATAATTGCTTACACGTTTTATAATTAACAAGATTTATAAATTAATTAGCTACAACAAATCATCAAATATTCATATATACATAAAATGTAAATAATTATATTTACATTTTATAAAAAAAATCGAAAAATAGGTCCATAATATTAAAAAAGTATATAGGTATGCATTCGCATGGTATTAAGGTATTATAATTATTATCCTAAATAGTTTAAAATTAAAATAATTATTTTGCTTGTTGCTATTTGAGTTTTTAACTAAGATCTAAATTCTGGAGATATTACGCTATCAACTCTACTTTGGTAGTTTCTTGAATAACTATTCTACATGGAATATGTTTTAATTATACTCATGTACCTACACATAATAACTCCTGGGCCTCCCCACGAGAATACTCAGTGAGGCCCAGTATTCTTATCTTGAGAAATAAATTAATAATAATAATAATACCATGGTGTTAAAAGTTTAAAACTTAAATTAATAAAAAAACTCAAAAAAAAAATTAGTATATACAAATATACACTTTTTTGTTATTCAAAATAAATAATTACAATCTATACAGTATAATAATTCAATAAGCAAATAAAAATGTCATGATTAAGTGACGGGCGTACCTAAGAATTGGGAAGACACTCAGTATGTGCCACCGGACAAAAAATAAACATACGATTTAAATAATTTATAAATGTATTGTATTATATATGGTACGGAAAAAGTACATGTACAATATACATATAAATTACATATAAAATATCTACAACTGCCGCTGAATGTCTGAATTTCTACGTTTTACCGATTGGACTTGGTAATTATTCTAGGATATACAAAATAATTTGGTCTAATCCATTATGGAGATAGTTCAAAATTATTAAAAAACATTTTTATTTTATTTTGTCGGTATAAGATCAATCTTAATGTTTTTTTTTTAAATTATAAATTTAATTGTAAAAATTATTATGAATAAAATCTAAACATAATACAAAATAACAATATAGTACTATTATTATTGCAACAAAAAATATATTATTTATTAGTGCATGTGTATAGGATACAGTGATATCGAGAATTGCATGACAATTTTCGATCTATATTTACATAGGTTTGTAATACATTTTTTTTAAACAGTCACAACTTACTAACCCGTCAAGGGAAGTTATGTTACCGCTTGTCGAATGCCAATTTTATTTGTTAGTATTACTTCTAAATTCGAAAAAAATGTGAATAAAGAATATTGAGAGTTTCCCCTCTTTTGTAATAGACAAAAGAAATATACACTACTTGTATAACGCCAAAATATTATAAAACATAGTTTTACAACGACTATCGATTAAAATTAAATTTCTAAAACAGTATCAATAAACAGTACACGAAACTATATAAAATAAAATATATTTGAATTTTTTTGATGCACAAAATTAATATTTATATTATTTCGAGAGTTTGACATTTGTGTAGGTTCTATGTCACTATTAGTACGGATGGATAAAAGTCGGAACATTTCAGAACGTGGAAACTTTGTACTAGTATATTATATACATATTATAAACATACATAAAATAAAGTACCTATATATAGTATAAATACGTCTGAAGTCATAACAAATTATTTAAAAATGCTGTGAAATTGTATACAATTTCAACTTAATTGAGACCTAAATTCGTCTAAGAGGGTTTTCGCTATATTATATTATATTCAACCTACCTACCATGATTTATTATGACTTGTTTATGTTATAGACATTTTATATATGAAAATTGTATTTATATCATCATTAATTATTTGATAGGTACCTACCAATAATAATGTTTAGATATCATCAAACTTTACAACAATTTTAATATAACTTGTCATGATTTGCTTATATTATAATATATACCTCATACTAATACTATGTACCTATAATATGTATCCATATTATACAGTCGATTCCGCTTTATTGGGACACATCGGTTGGGTGTTATTTTGTCCCAATAAAGCGGTTGTCCCAATAATCCGAAATACAAAAACCAACATATAAATTTGTTGAAAAACTGATTTGTTTTATATATTTTTATTATTACAAATTACAAACAATGTATTATAGAAATTATTTGATAGTACAAAAAGAAAAACATGATATAACCTAATTATTTATAAAAATACTTACATATAAAGTAGGTACATATTACATATTTTTTATTTTTTTATTATGTATTTTATCTTATTTAAAAAAACTGTTGATTTCGGTACTCCTAAAATTTCCGAAAGACGACGTGTATTACAGCCTGGTAGCTGTAATTTAATTTTGTCCAGAATTTCTAATTTTTGAGCAAACGATAAATCTTTACGTACACGAGCCATCGTTGCTACACGCGACAAACACGACTGATGCACCATTGCACCAAATAACATTTAACAACTATCACATTTGAACATACGATAAAAGATAAGATAAAATAAAGTTAAATAAGATAAAATGTAATGTAATGATCGATTACGAGAGTCCGTCACGATTGTTGAACTATTGAATTATTAATATACTCGATAAAAATGTCCCAATTATCCGGATTCGTGGCCCAAATAAGCGGCGAATGTTTACCCTACAAGTATACATTTGTTTTTGTAATTGAAGAATTGTCCCTATTAAGCGGTTGTCCTTATTAACCGGTGTCTCTATTAAGCGGAATCGACTGTATTAGTACAAAGTGTCCTCGTTCTACAATGAATATTTTTACCATAATCTAAAGTGACCGTTTACCGTTTGTGCGTGATGAAAACAGCAATATACTTTCTCCAATTTGTTTTGTTTGTGATATACTGATAACTATTTGAGAATATTAGTGATATATTATTTTAGTTTGAACTCCGTATAAAATGTATTATACTAATTACTAGCTATAGCTTATACATAATGATAATAGTTAATACCATTTAAATAACAAGTATACACAAAATATATGAATACATTTCTTTTTCGGTTTTATACTTTTATAGAATATTACTATATATTTTAAAGAAAACTAGTAAAACTAAAGAATTAAAAAAAAGTAATTTAACATCTCTCTTTCTCGTTCTCTATATAATATATAGTATAGATCAAATTTATCTATAATTACGGCTTCATAGTACATGGGTTTTTTTTTTTTTAAATTTTTTCTATTACATTGTAAAATTGTATTTAAGATAATCGATAGATTCCGATACCTTTTGAATTTAGTCCCAGGGCAGCATCCAAGGGAGCTATTGCCTAGTTCTTTCCTTCGTGTATTTGTGACATTAAATCATTATGTGTTTGATATATTTAAGATTAATCCACGGGTTACGTTTATTAGTGGAAGTTATTTTGCCATTAGAAAACCATGTGTTCTTCTGGTATATCCAATTCTTAGTTTATATTAGATTTATTTGTTTTTAATGTATATTTGCCATTTAACTTCGATTTCAATATTATGTAAGAATAAGTTAAATTGGTGTTATATCAAATGAAATGATTTACATAAAATATTCTACGAGAGAGTTTTTGATTATAGAAATACAAAAGAATCTGAATGTCTAAGGTTAACATTGAATAATCTTCAAATTATTTATACTAATAATTTTGTATTTTTTACAAAAAAAATAAGAACTGAAATATACAAAATAGTTTTTTTTTAATAATACCTTATACACAATACACCACTGAATATAATTTTAGATTTAAGTGCACATAATAAAAAGAGCGGATATCTTTATTTTATTACTCAACACGGATAACAATTTTTTTTTTGTAAATATACAAAATAATGCTTGGTGTTCTTAATTATTATTTAATATTTAAATTAGTAGATATAAATAATTTTATATTTAAAATTAACAGCTTTATAACTTAATAGATAATAATTATTAATAAGTACGTTTATACCTATTATAATGACGTTACGAGGATTGCAAACGGTCAATCATTTCAACCAAAATGTACCTAACTATTGTTAATCATGATAACATGACATATGGACATGATAACACGATAAGACTTCTGAAAACTGATTTGAACTCGTATACTCTTAATATGTCTACTTTAGATTAAAATAATTTTAACATTGGACAATTATTGGGTTCCTAAACTAATGTACATATTGTTTGAATACTTTGAAAATTAAATTAAATATCTTAAAATAAAATTATCGATCTCAAGAAAACATATTAACGAATTCAAATCAGTTTTCAGAAGTCTTATCGCGTTATTAGGTCCATCGGTAGGATTGGCAAAAAGTACATCAAATGAGCATAGGTACATTGTTTACTTGTACAATGTCGAGGCAAGGCAAATTGTTCATGTGCGTGAGGGAGCTCTCCGCTATTTCTTCTACACACATGCACACACACTAATGATCACTTACTACGCACACATTGTAAAGACCCGCTTGCATATAATTTGGAAATTGCCTATTTTGAACTCCTTAAAAATTGTCCATTTGCAATTCCCTTTAAACGGTTATAAATCAACGGATATTTACTCTTTTATTCTTAGGTTTCTTGGGTTATATTATTTACCAATAAAAATACAAGTATCTGTAGATCTAAAACCATTTTAACACCATCGTATAAACGGACTAAATGTAATATATCTAGTAGCAAACCATGATATTTGTGTATTAATTACATACAAAAACAGGGGCGTCATTGTAGGGGGGGAGGAATGCGACGGCACCACTAACTTAATAGTGTTAATAATTGGAATTCCATTGATGCTCTTATGCGCAGTTATAATTAACTATCAAATATCAATAAAATACCCACGTATATATGCATGTAATATATATTATATTATATATAATATATTAATATTTTTTTTAAATATTTTAGTATACTATAGTGCCTATAAGTATTTCTTTTAAGTGATATGTCTATTTAATTTTTTTATCCACTTTATTATCAAATGTATCCTTATGTGATAACCACGGCATGTGAGGCACGTTTTTATCTATTTATTAATACACATATTTGTATAAAGGTATAGATAGTAAATGCTGTAATATCAATTATAATATTATAAACCCTGAAAATAACTGAGCGCAATTGGTTTATCACCCAGAAAATACAGAGCGCAATTGGCATATCGACCCAGAAGAGTCAGAGCGCATTTGATATATTAAAATTTAAGAACAATTGGTAAACTCCTGTTTTACTCATAGAGTTATGAATAAAGAACCATAAATTACTCTATGGTCTTATTTGAATAATAGGTCGGCGCCAGTTGCTGATATTTAATGGGTGATCCTCGTTGGGGAAACGGTAAAATGTGGTAGTACATTCAATTAATATAACTTCAAGTTGATATTGAGCCTTCAATATATCCGTTGACAAATGATAATAACATGTATCGGCCTTCGTAAGAAAATAAATATTAGAGTCAAGACCGATTAGCCTTATGTTATAAGTGTGGCTTGATTATTTCTTAAACATTATTCTGAAGATTTCAATGAAACTTTAAACATTAATTCTATATTCTTAACATTAGCAATATAGCAATATCAACAGCTTCTAATGAAAGATTTTTTCATCTTTCAAACCAGTTAAAACCTATTTACGAAACACTATGATGGGTGATGAATGATGATAGATTAAATGATCTGATGGTTTAGCTTCAGAAAAGGAAGAAGCTAGTAGTAACAATTTATAAGAGGCAGTATAACCACATAAGAACAAGTAGATACCCACTAATTAAAATTTAAAAATAATTAATAATGCGTGATATTTTGTATGAATAGTGTTTAATTTTGGAACTAAAGTGAGTTCCTTTATACCGCATTTCCCTTTTTTCTCCAAATATTAGTAATAGCTTCAGTTGGTTGCTTTAGTTGCTTATAAGCTTTTAATACATCGAAATATTCTAGCTATTTGAAAAGTACATTAGTTGATACGAGTAAATTAGGATTATATTATTAAGGAAGGAAATAATATTAATATAGATTTTTTTTTTGAACAGCATGGTTAAATGTTAAAATATTGGCCTGCCTTAAATCTCCACACTAGAAAAATAAAATGAAATTACGCCCCTGTACAAACAAAATGAGATATCGCTTATAAAACAATATACTTTATAACAACGAATTATTTGTTCAATCATGATAACTCATTACGAAGAATTACCATAAAATCATGAAAAAAATATTTGCAGATCACTGAATAATAATAACAATATATTTTTCTTATACAATACTATAACATATTTTATCCTATTTTATCTGTCAATAGGTTAGGTATGATACGGTCGACAAACGCCTAATATATTTATTGCCAGTCTGCTGTCGCCACCGTCGTCGCAGTGTCGAGTGTTTTGAAGATTACAACAGTTGTAGTGTGTGTGTGTGTGTGTGTGTACGATATTAAAGTTTGTGTACGAATAATAATAATATATCTAATCGATACAGAGACCGATTGTCATTTTATCCGCTTGTGCTTGCCGTTGACTCGTTCCCTGACAACTTCAGGTCCGCTATTGGCGAGTGCGTCAAATCACAAATAAACTGTTTTAAACATCTTTGTGAGATTACTTCCGGTTGTTGTCAACGGTGAGTTTTGAACGACTTCCACCGCCGTATTGTCCACATTTACAAGGTACGCAGTCGAGTCCGCGGGGCGCCATGACGGGACGGCAACGCCGCAAAGCCCGCGACCAATAGCGGGCGTCAGAATTGTTGACAGTCCGATGTTGCCACGTTCCAGCCGAAGCCGCCGTCGCCTAGCGCAATGGCCGCCGCCGAAATCGCAACCAAGATCGCGGTAAATCTCACAGAAAATCTCACGGCAAATGTCACCGCCAATTTCACAGGCAACGATACGTTGCTACATGACCAACAAAGCTCCGACCTATACAAGGTGCCAGCCCTGTTGGTTGTCGTTCTATCCGTGCTCTACGGTTCGATATCAGTGATCGCTGTGGCCGGAAATGGATTGGTGATATGGGCCATCGTCACCAGCAAGCGGATGAGGTCGGTCACCAATCACTACTTGGCAAACTTGGCGTTCGCTGACATACTAATTGCACTCTTCGCCATACCATTTGAAGTAAGTGCATTCCTATATAAACACTATAGATAAGTACCCAATTCCTAAACTTGACATCATTATATTCTCGTTGGCCCATCCTGTTTGTGATAGTATTGGGTCAAACATTTTACGACATTATTTCACTTCAAACAACCATACAAGCCGTTAGTTGATTCAAGCAATTTAATCCATGTGCTCATATCATGAAATTATACAACTTGTATGATAATATTCATAAATCATAAGTGACGTTTTTTGAATATTCTTATATTAAGAAGGTATATTTAGGATGCAGACTATAGCCTTTAGCGAATAACAATTCAAATAACCCATTGAATAAAAATATGAATGATTCTTTCAAAAAACCACAGCTACCTACAAAATTAGTTTAACAGTGTTGGATTTAATTCCAATTCAACTTAAATTAATTTTAAAAAAATTGTACTATAGACTATAATACATATTTGAAGTTATTAATTTGCATTGTATTGTGTTTAATCCCAAAGAAGGTCATTTTCACTATTTTATAAAACTATTAAATATTCAGTCAACGATTATCAGTTCTGTAAGTTGTTGTGTAAGCAATAAGCATACACGATACACCCACTTCAACGATAACACTATTTTCCTATATTGATACAAATAAACCACAAAAGATGTGAAATAGAATTTTGAAAAATTAAAAGTACCTTCATAAGAATATTATTTTAATTCGATCAAGTTTCTTTTTATGGAAAAACAAAATAATATTATGATATATAATTATAAGTCCTCAAGATTTTAAAATTCATTTATATATGATATATTCCTAATTATATAAGGTGTACCAATCTAACGACTTATTATTGTTTTTTGGTTTACGTTTTATTAGATTTGAATAATTAATATATTAGACATTAATTTTCACAATTAAAGCGGATTATTGTGATATTTTAAAGAAAATATTAATTTTTTTTGTTAATTTAATTTATAAATATCATAGCATAGTTTTAATTTTTTATTCATATGGAGATATTTTTTTCTACATATTTTGATATACTTACATATATTTAACGATGAACTAATAGGTATACTTTCTTATTTACTAACGTTAAAATGTTTGGGATGAGTATATAGGCATATAGTTAGCTAAAAGTTTGTCTATAACATGGGATATAATATAATTACGAGATATAAACCCTTCCTTAACTTTATTTTTCTCGACTAAACTCAAAATATGTTTATATATATTTTTCATAAAATTCTGTTACTTAATATGAAATAAGAAAACAATTGATTACCAATGAAACTTGTCGTGTATTAATATTTAAAATGCCTAAACATAAAAAATCCAATTTAAAACCAAAAATATTTACTTCCGGAAAGAATCTCACATAAAAAGTTTAATATTAAAATATAAATATGTTATACATTTTTTATTTATAATTTACTTACAATATTTTGTATACTTTAATTTGACAAAATCTTAAATACACGGTAATTGAAATAAATTGTTTTAATGCAAGGTGGTTGATAAATGATACTAAAAAGTTACTAACATCACGAGTCATAAAAATAGGTACATAGTTTTCCCAAGAAATTATTATAATTTTAATTTAGGTATTAAAGAAAAATATCATCACAGTATTTGAGCATAAAAATATTTAACATGCACTCAGGCGTAAGTACATACTATAAAACCAAAATAAGTAGACTGTTAATATTTTGACAAAAATGAATCGATTAATCTGTTGTGTGGATATTAAATAAGTAGGTATAATTTAAATGATTCCTAATTATAAACAATATTTTTCAGAATAATTTCCGTTCGGCGACCGATCCTCCTCTGCAAATGTATAGTTTTTCATTATAGGTATTTATTTTTCTAGAAAAAGTTATGTGTTATATGTCTAGTTTTATGTGCCTATTTCTTAATATTTCAATTACGTTTTACTAAAACAACTTTAATCAACTAGGTATATAGGTATTGTATTTTTTGAAAGACGTTTTTTAACTTTATTTCTCTGCCGAATACAATTTGTGCATCTATGAAGGGCGTTTTTCTACGTTGTAGTTGTAAGCCTCAGAACTTTTAATTATTTTGACTTTTAAACATTCAAAAAAAAAATATTAAGATTACCGTATAATCGTGTCGAAGCAAACTTGTTATTAAAACGGAAATCCGTGTGGTACGAACTTTTTTCCAGGAAACATCGTATATTATAGAGATTACAACAAACTAGATTTTTTCTCATAGAATTTAAATTAGATTAAAAGAAAAAACAAATGACTAAGGAGTAAAAATCGTTATATTATATTCATACAATGCTTGCAGAAGATAGGGTTGAACATAATATATCAGCAATTTATTTTATACCAGACTTATAATATTACAGTTGCAGTGGTATTTCGTAGAGGGTATTAAACAAAACGTATACGATTACATCATTTTAATTAATGAATAGTGATGATCAGAATTCGTACATTGTTATTTACATGACATGAGGGTATATTAATGCTGCGTATTGATGATAGTGTTGTCTCATTTGCAAATAAATAAGGTACCCACGTTTATATTATATACTGTTTAAATGATGTATTTATTTAAATCACGCTAAAATAATTATATTTGACTATTAAGGTAGGATGAAATATAGGATATTTATTTGCTTTATAAACTCTTAAAATAAAACTAATTACATTTAAAAAAAAAAAAAATTAATACCGAATTGTGAAAACAATATTATAATATAAAATCATACTAAGTCCGAGCTAAAAATCCAATAACATCAAAGAATTGAGAATTATAAGATAATTAAAAGTCATTGCAACACCGTGGAGCCCATGATATCATGTTTATATATATATCTTGTTGCCGTACCATATAATTTAGTAAATTAAGTTGATATTTAACTCGCATGTAAAATACCTGAAATAAACAAATTATACACTAGAACGTTGTGTAACATAATGGTATCCCGTTGCGATATGATACCATGATAATTTGCATAAAAATATTATTTTAATATGATTCAAAAATTTAAATTATTTAAGGATTATATTAGTACAATATAGTTGAAAGTTATTTAAAATCATATAACTATTTTAAGTCACTACTATAAGTGGAAATATTTTGGGTGCTTAGCCTCATCAAAAGAAAGTCTTACAAGCTCACCTTAAAACGAATAAAAAATAATTTTATATTTTCCTTTATAATATTATTTTCGAAAATATCCATATAAAAGTAGTATTTATAGAATATTTTTTGAGGAAAAGAGGTAAATATTTTGACTGTAAAAATAATTTCTCACTTTTTGTGAGCTACTTGCACGTTAACCTGCACGCCATGCCATTATTTAAAAAAAAACCAAAGAGCTTACTTCTGCTGTATTATACGTAGTTTTAATTTGAATTAAATAAAATCAACATATTCAATAAAATATCATCGAACACAGAAAAACAATTCTGAGTGAGGGAGACGAGCAATTATAATACTTATACGATTATAAAATAAGACCATGAACATGTATTATCTATTTTTATCTTTTTTTTAAAGTTATTTCTTTTTTTAAACAAATGGAATAATATTGTGATCTTTTTTGAAAGCAATATTGGTTTCTTACTCTGCTTAAAGTCTAAAAACTACAGTCCGAATTTAGATTAGAATAAAAAAAAAATTTTTGGCAACGTCTCAATTTTGTTAATTGTTCGTCGGTCATCGGCGTGCAACACGTAAAACACTATGCACGATGATCGTTCTTATTAATATACTCTGTTTATACGTTGTATATACAGATACTATATTACAGACGTCGCGGCGAACGCTTGGAAATTACAATAATATACACTTATATACACGGATAAAAAAAATATACATAATTGTATTGACAAACAGAGTATTGTTGTTAATGCGCGTATTGTTTGCCAACGTTAAACTCAGAAATAATAATTTGTCGAATAACATAATATTATTAACATTCATAACATAAGAAATTACAATTTGATTGCCCGAACGAAACATAAATGAGTTTTACCCGCGGCGTGGCGTCGAGTAGACCAAAAACCATAAAAGTAGCAAAATGTTTTTATTACTTTTCGACAAATGCTGATAAATTGTCCAGCACATTGGAGGGTAATAAATTGATTCATATACGCATGTTCGCACATATTACACATATCATAATATTTTATAATAATATACGTGAAAATGCCAATACGGAACTACACGTCTTTTACAATCCTTTCACATAGATCTATATATAGCTGTTTCATTGTTTCCCAAAGAAGCCAGCACTAAGACTGCGCGGTTTTATACTGCTGTTAAACTGTAAAAATATATTACATGTATACATTATTATTATATGTGCGTATTTTGTACAATATTTTGCAACAAAGCTTTAAAGGTCTCGTAATTTTCCAACTCAGTGACAAATTAACGAGCACGTACTTACGCGGAAGAAAATTTACGATACAAAATAGGTGCAATAAAAAAAAGTTTGTTTAAAATATCCCTATTATAATGGTTATTATTAGAAACTATAAGAAATCTTATAGGTAGATGCAAATTAATTTGCAGAAGTAGGTACCTACTTAATATTCTCTTAGAAGGAAATAAACACAATAAAGTGGTTAAAAATTAAAATGTAGAAATTATATTTAAGATCAGATTTTATTTCAACCGGAAATCGCGTTTTGTGTATAATCAATTTTTATTTGTTCAATTATTAAAATAGTAAATATCATAATTGTACTAATGACATTTTACCTCTGATTCTCTTATCAGTGATTGATAATTGTGTACACACAACATATGTACCTAATTATTTACTCTACCTAAATGTTGTTCCTTTGATGTATTTTGACAAAACACACACTATTTGTTTTAAGAGTAATCAACTCTTATCAATAAAAACATTTTAATAATATGGAGGTAATTTGGAAAAATCTGGTAATAGAACCGTATAATGCATTATGGCAAACAGATAAACAGTCAAACAATATTACTGTCAAAAGGTTTATATTTAAAAACATATATTTTT